AAACCGTAAACCCTAAACCCTAAACCCTAAACCCTAAACACTAGCCCTAAACCCTAAACCCTAAGGTTTGGCAGACGTTGCTGAGCTGGCAGGCGCCAATGTGAAGGACTGCTTGATGTTCAGGGTTTAGGGTTTAGGGTTTACGAGGGGGAATGTCAGAAACCGCCAATAACCGCTGTACAGCCACACACGAGTTTCCATCTGAACCCTAAACCCTAAACCCTGGTGTGTCCCCAGGTGGGCACCAGCCAGCCACGTGAGGACAGGTCACCGTTCTGCTGCCAAATGCCAACTGTTTGTTGGATCCCTGCATGGTGCTGCCAGCAACGCACGACTGAAGGAAGAAGGTTGAGCGGAAGCAGTGGGTTTGGCAGACGTTGCTGAGCTGGCAGGCGCCAAAGTGAAGGACTGCTTGGTGTTCAGGGTTTAGGGTTTGGGGTTTACGAGGGGGAATGTCAGAAACCGCCAATAACCGCTGTACAGCCACACACGAGTTGCCACCTGAACCCTAAACCCTAAACCCTGGTGTGTCCCCAGGTGGGCACCAGCCAGCCACGTGAGGACAGGTCACCGTTCTGCTGCCAAATGCCAACTGTTTGTTGGATCCGTGCATGGTGCTGCCAGCAATGCCCCACCCCTCGGGATCCCTTGACCTCGCGCTCCCCCTGTACGCTGCCCGTGAGCGCGCACTTTCATCAGGGCTGCAGGGAATACAGCGGAGGTGCCGAGGCCTTGGTCTGCGCCGGGGTGCTGCTGCACTGACTTGTCATTTGTAAGGACATGAAGAGGCGCTTTCGTTTCAGGCAGGATTGTGCAGCAATCAAAACACCCAATGATTTACGGTACGTACGTACCTATCTGCCTTGCACGCTTATGCAAGGGGGCGAATGAAGCAGCCTTATAAGCTCATGTCTCGGTATCACATTGAACAAAGTGATCAGTTCTATCCCTTGGTTCATGGCCAGCTCCTCCGGGCGGCTGAGCAGCCACCAACGGGAGGCATCAGTGTGAGCTGCTCCCGCAGCATGGCGGTGGGAGCGGCGTTTATGACTTTAGTATGTGAAAGTCAAGTTGGTCCAAACTTTCTTGAATTGTGATGACATGTCGGGCTATGCGTTCAGGATGTCGCCGCACATGGATGGTAGTGTGCGTGTGCGGGTGGCGACGTTGCCCGTCGCCCAACTGACGCATGTCGGCGCCCAGCGGTGTCCCCCATGTGAGCCCTGGCAGTGCTTCGAGAAAGCAGCCACCCTCTGGTGTCACATAGGCAAGCACACGCCCGCTTTGGTTGTGCGGCATTTGCAGCCTTGTGCGGATGTTGTGTCCCCAACCTCAGCGGTGCGCGTGGACGTCGGTCGTGAGCCGACTCTGAACCCCCCCTTAGACAGGCCGGATTACAAACCACAACCCTGCATCAAGACACATACAGTATGGACAATGCTGGCCAGCGCCTCAAATGATGGCCTGACAAAGCCAATACTTGGCACGCTCCTCCGGCTGCTGCGCGTGGCAGCGTGACAGACTCGACTGGTGGACAGCGATGGCATGGACGGTGGCATCGGCCCCATCATGCGCGCCAGTGCGGGTGAAGGCGTGGCCGTAGGCCGTACATCACACGCGGTAACGGCGCGGCAAAGCACAGCCCGGGCAAAATGTTTTGTAAAAGCATGCCAAGCAATCAAAAACACCCAACAGTTGAAGGTTGTGTGTGTGTAGTATTGGCTAGGCGTGTCTTCAGCGCATGTGAAAAGCAGCCGTGCTGCCGGATTGCCTACGTGTGCCCGCACGCATCGCTCAAAAACAGTGTGCGGCTAGAAATGCCGGCACCGCTCTCACAGGGGTGCGTGGCAAGGCGTCCACACCACGAGACTGTTGCGCACACGCCCCGATGAGTACCACACCAAAAGAGGGCCACCAGGGGCCACAAAAGACTGCGTGACTCTCGTAATTCCTGCATCAATGTGGGGGCACCAAAGGCACTGGAAGCAGCGCGTCATCATTCGTGAAAAACGCCACAAGAACCTCCAGGTGGCGTGGAGCTGCACGCATCACACGGTTTGCCAAAATACAGCATGGCCGCAACAAACCTTGCTTTACATACACCGGCCCCCGGCGCTCAACTCAGGCTTGGCGAAGGCACATGCCACGCGTGCCCCCTCAGCCCTCAGCCCAGCGTGACTGCTGCCAGCCCCTTACCACTCGTGCATCACCCGTCCCTCTTCCCAGCATCCATGAGCCCAGGACTGTGCTGATCCCTGCACGCGTGGCCACAAGGCACTCGGCCCACACCACTGCACAGTGCAGCATGTCCTACATCACCACGGCAGAGTTCACATCGTACTGGACTCCCCGACGTTGCGGCCCACAACGTGTACGTGAGGGTACGATGAGGCTGGGTGCAGGTGCAAGCTCGGGGGCCGCCGTGAGGACGGCTCCTGCCTGGAACCCAAGCAAGACCGTCCCCAACCGCGCGGGACAAGGCCAAGCAAGGTCCCTGACATCCACTTGTCGTGGGAGCTAGTGTGATGTGGTGCGCCCTAGGACTTGATGGCGGCGTAGTACAGGTCGGTGAACTGCAGAGCGGGCCTGTTCCAGGAAAAGTCCATCCTCATGACACGCGACTGCAGGCCCCTGAACCAGGCTCTGTCGTTGTAGAACGCGTCCACGGCGCGGTTCAGCGCGTAGTCCAGACCGCCAGCGTCTGCGCCCTCGAAGGCAAAGCCGTTGGTGCAGTTGGGCCCGTCAGCCTCCACATCAGAGGAGCCCGCCACCTCCCAGGCCGCACGCGCCTGCAGTTGTGTGTTTGGAGACGTTGCAATGTCTTAGTGGCGTCAGGCTGCGGGGCAAACCTATCTGCGGGATGCTTATGATGCAGAAGCGCAGGGCGCAACCAGGCCCCGTAGCTGCAGCCTGGGCAGTGCCTCAATCAACCAGGCCAGGCCAGGCCAGCCCAGGCCAGGCCAGCTTGACCCCTCCTCGAGACTGAGCCCCACCTTGTCCGTGTCGACGTCAAACACAGTGTCACGCAGGCCCCCGGTGTGGCGGACCACGGGGACTAGGGTCGGTTTGTTTTTGGGTGGGGGTGGAGGGGGGGGAGGGAGATGACAGAGTGTTGCCCGCGTGGATGGGCTAGTGGAAGTGCGACCAGCCCTGTGAGCACCGCTCAGAGCAAAGGTTCATGAGCATGGAACAGTCATGGATACCAGCAGACACAATCATGTGTAGGGCCCCCGACATATAGAACCCCTGTTATTGGACAGGCCCATGCACGAAAAAGTCTTCCTTGTCACCCCCTGCTTTCCCCATTCTGCCTTTTGCCGCGCCGCACCTCCCCTCCCCCCCCCCCACACACACACCTGCGCCGTATCTCATGGCAATCATCTGGCTCAGGCCGCAGGGCTCAAAGATGGAGGGCACCACCACGATGTCCGCCGCGGCATAGATCAGGTGGCTCAGGGGCTCGTCAAAGTAGAAGCAGAACGCCGCGTTGTTGTCGTAGCCGCCCGCCAGGCTGCCCGCCAGGGCGTTGAACTCGCCCTGGACCTTGGGGTCGGGCGCGCTGCCCAGCAGCACAAATTGGCCGCCGCGGTCGCGCGTGCGCCACGCCGCGTGCTTTATGAGGTGCACGCCCTTCTGCCCCGTGAGACGCGACACCACCGCCACGATCAGGCGGTCGTCCCAGCTGGACAGGTTGAGGCGGCGGCGCAGCTCTGCGCGCGCCGCGGCCTTGCCGGCCTCACAGGTCGACGCGTCATAGGGCTGAGGCAGCCAGGGGTCCTCTGTGAAAACAACGGGTCCGCGCAGTGAATTCAGACACAGGCAATGGATGCATTCAATCAGCACAACTGCGTGCTGGTTGATAAGTGGCACCGGGCTGAGACTTACGCTCGACTAGCCCTTGTAAGGGTCCCTCACGCCACTGCAGCCATATGAACCTCGGTACACTCCTGCTTGACCTGGCTCCCTCCCCTCTCCTGCACCCCTTGCACCCACCCATGGGGTCCCAGATCTCAGGGTCTATGCCGTTGAGGATGCCCATGAACTGCAGGCGAGGCGCGTCACGGCGGGCGGACAGGTTGAGGTTCAAGAGGGTGGCGGCGCGGGCGCCCGGCACAGAGCCATGTGCACATTGGCTTCATCAGTGTTTGAGCTGGCTGCTGCAGCTGCTGCAGCTGCAAGTACTGGCCCATGTCTACAAACAGAGTGGTGCCAGCACATCACACCAGACAGACATGCGAGAGCCAAGCATTGCCCAAATCAACTGTGCCGCCCACCTTGTGGCTGTGGGCCGCGATGGCAGGGTGGCCCCCGACCTCGTAAGCGTAGGAGGGGGACACAGTTGTGAATTTCTGGCTGTAGTAGGCCGCCTCACCAATCTTCTTCTGGCCATAGTTCATGTTGTGGATGGTGAACACAACCTGGAATCGGGCGGATGACGGGGAGGAACGCGGTGTGGGCGCCGGGCGTATGGGCTCTGTGAGGAGGTACAGTGCCGGCTGAAAACTAATCAGATCACGTGTCGTGCACGCGCACCCAGCCCATCAGCATCTGTACGGTCACATCATGAGCTCATTCCATGAACCTGACCTTGGGCTTCCAGAGGCCGAAGGGGTGGTAGTCATCCCAGTAGGCCTTGGCCACGTGCGCCGTCTGCCAGTCGTGGCAGTGCAGGATATCGGGCTGCCGCTGGGTCTGCAGCAGGAACTCCAGGGCGGCGCGGCAGAAGAAGTCAAAACGCACCTCATCATCGTACCTTAAGGGTGGAAGAGAGGAGCGGGCGCACAGGAGAATGGGTGAGTGGGTGCATTTCTGTGCATAATGTTTCTCAGTCATAGTTTGGGTACGTGTGCATGGTGAGGCAGAGCGCTTTGTTCAGCTGTGTGCAACTGATGGTGTCTCAGGGTTGAGTCAGCACCGTCAGACAGGAACCCCATTGCGGGCGAGGTGGCGTGAGCCGCTCTTGTGTGCGGCGTCCGGGCGGTCGCATCGCCCGGATCGCATGCAGACACAGCATATGAGAGCCATCCCATTGATTGATGGAATTGTAACAGATTCCAGCATCCCTGTGGATACACGCTAAGTAGTGCTTGGACTGTAGAGCCTGTCATGCACGCTCGTCCCTGCGTCGCACCCCCACCTGCCGTAGACGCTGCTTGTGGCGAAGAAGCCGTTGTGTGGGTTGACGAAGAACACCCGGATGCCCTCCACCAGGCAGCTCATCACCGTGATGCGCGTGCCCCCCCAGTCAAACTCGGCCTCAAACTGGCGGCCGCCCAGCAGCGGGGACGCGTCAAAGAACTGGTACCTGCGGTTCCAAAAGTTTGCGGGGGCAGGGGTCGTGGGG